GTCTTTCCTGCCCGGGCTGGCTTTGAACCGCGATCCTCAGATCTCAGCCTCCTGAGTAGCTAGGATTACAGGCGTGAGCCACCAGCGCCCGGCTTTATAAAACATTTTTTAAGTCCAACTCTTCTTTTTCTTTTTTTGGTCGGTCATGGGGCTTGAACTCTGGGCCTGGGCACTGTCCCTGAACTCTTCAGCTCAAGGCAATCACTCTACCACTTGAGCCACAGCACCACTTCTGGTTTTCTAGTGGTTTATTGGAGATAAGAGTCTCACCAACGGGCTGGGAAGGTGGCTCAGTGGTAGAGCGCTTGTGCATGAGACCCTAAGTTTGAGTCCTCAGCACCATATAAGCAGAAAAAAAAAGCCGGAAGTGGCGCTGTGGCTCAAGTGGTAGAGAGCTAGCTAGCCTTGAGCTGAAGAGCTGAGGGACAGCGCCCAGACCCAGAGTTCAGGCCCACAACTGGACCCCCCCCCCAAAAAAAAGAGTCACGGACTTTCCTACCCGGGCTGGCTTTGAACCTCAATCCTCAGATCTCAGTCCCTTGAGTAGCTAGGATTACAGGTGTGAGCCACAGACTCCCAACCAACTCTTCTTTTTCTAAATAAGCAAAAATAAAAATAAAAATTTCCCACCTATCATGATAGTCTCATAAGGAAAAGAGTGTTTAATAAACAATCATCTAGCTCAGCACTGGTGGCTCATGCCTATTATCCTAGCTACTCAGGAACCTGAAATCTGAGAATAGTGATTCAAAGCCAGCCTGAGAAGCAAAGTCCATGAGACTCTTATTTCCAATTAACCAGCAAAAACCTGGAAGTAGAGCGGCAGCTCCAGTGATAGAGTGCTAGCTTTGAGTGAGAAAGCTTGATGACACTGCACAGGTCCTGAGTTCAAGTCCCAGGACCAACACAAAAATAAAAGCAAAGAATAAATAAACAAGAATCTAGGAAAGACATAATCACAGTACTAAAGTCAAATCCTTCCCTTGAGAAGAGAGTTGGCAATCTTCCATTATAACATACATGTGTGTGCGGGCACACGGGGAGACACACACACACACACACACACACTCACACCTCACACCCAAGCGGGGACACACACACACACACACACACACACACACACACACACACACACGCCTCACACCCAAGGCTCTTATCTTTCTCAGTTTGCCAGGAAAACTTCCTAATGTCCACACCCTCCCTCTAGTCAAGCCCAGCTACACCCACAGTGCGGCCACACCCACAATGAAGCCATGCCCACAACATGGCCCCGCCCATGGTGGGGGGCGGGGGACACTGACCTGGACATCTCCACAGGCACTTGCTTGGCTTTGAAAAAGAAAGAGAAATGGAGGTCAGTATAAGTGTACAAGGGAGGAGCAGACATTTCAATCACTTTTGGCTTTCCTTAAAGATCATACACCCATAAAAAGGAAAAGAATGCCAAATACTCATTCTTCAAAAGGAATCGAGGAAGCTCAAGACAGGAAGGAAGAGGTGTCTCCCTCCTTTCCCCCCCCTCCCCTGCCCCCACAGCAAAGCTAGGAATCAAATCCAGGGCTTCATCCTGTGTTGTATGGCTGAGCTATATTCCCAGCCTTTCTCTTGGGGGCTTTGTGTGTATGTGGGACAGTAGGATTTGAACTCAGGGCCTTATACTTGCTACATAGGTGCTATACCACTGAGTTACACCAGTTCTTTTTTTCCAGTTATTATTTTGAGATAGGAGGTCTCCCCTCCTTTTTTGGGGGGTGGGGGGCACTGAGATGAAGTCTCTCCAATTTTCCCCCCAGACTGGCCTAAAACCTAAATCCTTCTAATCTTTGCTTCTCACCTGGCCTGGATGATAGATATGAAACACTGAACCCTAACTAGGGATTGGCCTCTAGCCACCATCCTCCCAATCTCAGCCTCCCAAGTAGCCAGTATTACAAGTGTCTCTTGGCTCTCATATCAAGAATTTTCACATAATTTCCTCAACTAATATGACTTTTTTTTTTTTTGGTCGGTTGCAGGGCTTGAACTCTGGGCCTGGGTGCTGTCCCTCAGCTCTTCAGTTCAAGGCTAGTGCTCTACCACTTGAGCCACAGCGCCACTTCCGGTTTTCTGAGTGGTTTATTGGAGATAAGAGTCTCATGCACTTTCCTGCCCAGTGGCTTTGAACCATGATCCTCAGATCTAAGCCTCCTGAATAGCTAGGATTACAGGTGTGAGCCACCAGCACCCTGCTAATGTGACATGTTTTGATGCTTTAGCCAGAAGTGATTTGACTGAGTAAATGGGAGACATTCAGTAGTGTGTGTGGTGTGTGTGTGTGTGTGTGTGTGTGTGTGTGTGTGTGATACCTACTCTGCCAATTCCAGGACTAGATGTGGCTACACCCCATATGAAAATGCAACCTCATCCTGTTTCTCCTGATGGGCTAGGAAAGCCCTCACTCTGATTTTTGCTCAAGTAAATCCAAGGATGGCTGTGGAGCTGTGGTTCAACAGGTAGAGCACCAGCCTTGAGCAAACAGAACACACAACCTAAGCAAGAGTTCAAACCCCAGTACCAGCACAGAACCAAAATTCAAGAAGTAATCAAATAAAACCAAGGACACAACAAGTCCACCCCTCTCCAAGCCAGAATCTTTGTTTTCCTGACAGGAAGTCTCACCTATGCTGCCTCGGGGCTATGGCTGGCTTCCTGGCAAGGATCCCCTGTCAGAATGGAGGGAAGGATCTGGAATCTGGACTTACCCTTGGCTTTCTTCAAAATGTAGCATTTGGCTCCAACAATCAAGGTAGCAATTATCACCCCAATAACAACCAGTGCGATGAGGCCTTTCTTCCAGGGGGCAAGAAACACTAGAGATGGGAAAGAGGAAGCAAAGGAAAGATTTAGGTTCTTTCTTTGCCTGGGCGCTGTTCCTGGGCTTCTTTTATTGAAGGCTCTACCACTTGAGCCACAGCACCACTTCCAGCTTTTTCTGTGTATGTGGTGCTAAGGAATCAAACCCAGGGGCTTCATGCATGCTCGGCAAGCACTCTACCACTAAGCCACATTCCCAGCCCAAGAGTCTTGTAAGGCTGATTTGTGCAATCCTCCTAACTCGCACCTTAGTTATCTGAGCTCTCTTCCCTGAGGCTTTGTACTCAGCTGCTTCGGAAAGAGTTGCTTCTGTTCTAACCTCAGTCAGCTATGATCTTCAAGGAGCGATCAAACTATCTTTGCCCAGGAAGGGTTCATTTAGGGATGTCCTTTCAACCCACATACTTCTCAATAAAACTGTCCTCCACCCAGCTAGTTGGGCTCTTCTAAACACATCCCTTCTGTGAGACCCAATCTCCTTAGCCATAGATAGCCCGAGAGTGGATCGATGTGTGCCTTAAGGCGAGTCCATTCAATTGGTAATCTCTCTTCAAAAATTTGGAGTTGATGGGGCTGCGAAGGTGGCTCAGTGATAGAATGCTTACCTTGCATGCATGAGGCCCTGGGTTCAATTCCTTAGCACCACATAAACAGAAAAAGCTGGAAGTGATGCTGTGGCTCAAGTGGTAGAGTGCCAGCCTTGAGCTGAAGAGCTGAGGGACAGGGCCCAGGCCCAGAGTTCAGGTCCCAGGACCAGCCAAAAAAAAAAAATATTGTTGAGACTGTATGAAATATTTATTTTTTTTGACAGTCCTGGGGACTGAGTTCAGGGCCCGAGTGCTGTCCCTGAGTTTTTTTTTTTTGCCGGTCATGGGGCCTGAACTCTGGGTCTGGGCACTGTCCCTCAGCTCTTCAGCTCAAGGCTAGCGCTCTACCACTGGAGCCACAGCACCACTTTTGGCTTTTTCTGTTTATGTGGTGCTGAGGAATCGAACCCAGGGCCTCAATCTTGCAAGGCATGCACTCTACCGCTGAGCTACCTTTCCAGCCCGCTGAGTTTCTTTTTCGATTTTGGTTTTTTTTTGCGGGGGGGGAGGGGTCCAGTTGTGGAGCCTGAACTCTGGGCCTGGGCGCTGTCCCTCAGCTCTTCAGCTCAAGGCTAGTGCTCTACCACTTGAGCCACAGCGCCACTTCCGGCTTTTTTCTTTTTGCTTATGTGGTGCTGAGGAATTGAACCCAGGGCGTCATGCATGCAAAGCAAGCACTCTACCACTGAGCCACCTTCCCAGCCCCTGAGTTTCTTTTTCTTAAGCTCAAGGCTAAGTGCTCTACCACTTTGAGCCATGGCGCCATTTCTACTTTTCCAGTGGTGAATTGGAGGTAAGAGTCTCAAGGACTTTCCTGCCCAGGCTGGCTTCAAATCACAATCCTTAAATCTCAGCCTCCTAAGAATTAGCTAGGATTACAGATGTGATTTAGCTAGGATTACAGATGTGAGCCACCAAGTGCCTGGCTACTTCTGATTACTTGTAGCAATCAAGTCCTTCTCCTTTGGGTAGCCATTCAACTTCTCTTTTTAACTAAGTTGAGTGAATTGTTTTGTTTTGTTTGTAAAGACTTGATTCACTTAGTCCTCCATTACAAAAGCTAACTTCCCTGTCTCTCCCTCTTGCAGGAAGTAGTTTTTTGTTTTGTTTTGTTTTTAATGCCAAGCCGCTGGTGGCTCAGGCCTGTAATCCTAGCTACTCAAGAGGCTGAGATCTGAGGATCTTGGTTCAAAGCCAGCCTGGGTAGGAAAGGCCATGAGACTCTTATCTCCAATAAACCACCAGAAAACGGGAAGTGGTGCTGTGGCTCAAGTGGTAGAGCTGAGTTGAGGAGCTGAGGGGACAGCGCCCAGGCCCAGAGTTTAAGCCCCATGACCGATGAGAAAAAAAAAGTGTTTTTTGTCCTCCTGTGAAGCCCACTCTGCCTTCGTGGCCATTAATGAGACCCAGACTCACCTTTGACTGTCAAAGTGTTGCTCTTTTGGGCGAGGCTGGCTCTGTTGGAGGCTGTGCAATGGTACTCTCCCTCCTGTTCCTTGCTAGCCTGAGGCTTGCGCCAAAATGCGTAGGTCTCATTGGAGATAATTTGATAGAAAGGGCTATTTTCCTTTTCTTTGTAAAACCTGTATGTGATTGGAGCAGTCCCTTCCTCCATGGAGCATTGAAGCACCATTTCCTTCCCAGATTCCACCTCCTCACTCAACAGGATGGAAAGTTTGACCTGGACCACCGGAGCTGGAAAGTGGGCAGAGGATTAGCACTGAAGAAAGAAGTTGGGGGGGTGGGGGGGAGTGGAGACACTCAGCTGAGTATGGTTGCGCATACCTGGAATCTCAGCGCTCGGGAAGCTAAGGCAGGAAGATGGCAAGTTCAAGCCTGGGTGACACAGCAAGACCCTGTCTCACAATGCCCCCAAGGAGCTGGGAAGATGGCTCAGTGGTAAAGCGCTTGCCTTCCACAATGCCCCCAAATAAAAATATATAAATAAATCAAAAGAAGAGACGCAGAGTAGAAACATAAAATGGATACTGCGCACAGCCAACTGGGCCCTGGGGCTGTGATTGACACTTGGGCTGCAATTTTGTTTACATCATTCCTTTGTTTAATCTTTTGTTACAGTCATGTCTAGGACTAGCCCAGAAGTCAGTCGGGACACCTTCTCCTGTCATCAGTAATTATTAATTAAACACAGGGTCCCTAGGCCCTTCCTTAACTTAGGATGGAATATTAAGCACCACTTAAGAGTTCTGTTGGGATCGGGGGGTGGGGGGGGAGGAGAAAGAGAAAGATCACACTAATATCCCTGACCCCTTGAAAAAAAGTTAAAATATGTTCTTAATGACATCTAACCCCAGGGCTGGGAAGGTGGCTCAGTGGTAGAGCGCTTGCCTTGCACGCATGAGGCCCTGGGTTCCATTCCTCAGCACCACATAAGCAGAAGAAAAAAAAAGCCAGCAGTGGCGCTGTGGCTCAAGTGGTAGAGTGCTAGCCTTGAGCTGAAGAGCTGAAGGACAGCGCCCAGGCCCAGAGTTCAGGCCCCACGACCGGACCCAAAAAATAAAATAAAATAAAATGACATCTAACCCCAATAGCCTCTTTGTGAAATAGGCTAAGGTTATAGGTTCCTGGCTAGGTAGGATCAAGGCCCCTGAAGTCAGCTTGAAGAAGTTACAGAAGATGGACCTTCGCCCATCAACCCCCTGTTAAGATCAAGAGTCCAGAGTCAGTTTTAGAAAAACAAGGCAAAATAGATAAAAAAATAATAATAATTATTTTTTTAGAAAAAGGCATAGGGCTGGGAAGGTGGCTCAGTGGTAGAGCGCTTGCCTTGCATGCCTGAGGCCCTGGGTTCGATTCCTCAGTACCACATAAGCAAAAAGAAAAAAGCCGGAAGTGGCGCTGTGGCTCAAGTGGTAGAGCACTAGCCTTGATCTGAAGAGCTGAGGGACAGCACCCAGGCCCAGAGTTCAGGCCCCACGACCGGACCCAAAAAAGAAAAAAGAAAAGAAAAAGGCATAAAAAATAGTGAACAAGTGTGTAAGTGTGGAGACTGCATCTGTCGGAGATGGTTACAATACTAAGCCTTCTGTGTCTATTTACAAAAATAACTTGTTAGTTAAAAAAAAAAAAGTTGTGATTTTGGTAAATTGTCCTGGGCTATTGTGTAAACAGTCTTAAAAAGCCTGCCAAGGGTCAAAGCCTGCCAAGCCTATGCAATGTGTCCTTAACCAGTCTGTATAGAAACTTGCAGCCCAGCATGAGGTGTGACAGTCCCTTGTGCTGCTGCTGCTGCTGCTGCTGCTGCTGCTGCTGCTGCTGCTGCTGCTGCTGCTGCTGCTGTGCTGCATACCTTAATGAGTAAAGTTTGAAGACAGCCTGATAGTCACCTGGAGGAAATCTACATCGTCACCCAGACCACCTCCACTGTGATAAAAGTAGACTGAACTCCTGCCTGTTTCCATCACCTGAGACTGCATTCCGGTGGAAAGCTGCTAAATCTAAGATCTTGTGGGACATTCTTTTGGGTGATATCCAGAAACCCTCTCTTCCCACAGTGGATATGGGGGGCAAGGATATCACTGGCTTGCTTGCCTTAGGCACTTCAGTGCATAGTGACTGGAAATCCACTCTATAGTCACAGCCTAGTTTGGCTCTGGTATGGTAATAACCTGAGTGTGTTATCAATGCACGCAGTAATGAGACCCAGCCCTGCTCTTAGCCTTAAAATCTAGCAAGCTTCTGCATCCCAGTGGTGCCTGGAGGCTGTTCTGAGATAATGTCATACTTGGTTCCACAAGCCAGGGGGGAGGGGGGCGGTGAAATGGGCAGTTTTAAACTCTAGCCACAAAGATGCTCAAGGAATTGAAAAGAAGAGGAGGGTAGTAAAGAAAGCCTTGGGAAAGGAATTGGGGAAAAATTGGAATCCTCTGGATAAGAAAGGATTTGAAAAGTAAGGATTGTCTTAAAATGTTTGTAAAGAAGACAAACCCCAGAAAGTTTAAGTATGTGGCAAATGGTATGATATGTCGTTAAAATTGGAGCTTATGAATACAGCTGGTATAAAATTAAGTTAGCTGTGATATATAGAGTCAGGACTGAAAAAAAAATGTAAGGGCCTCTGGTACTGTTAATTTCGTTACTCACAATCGGACCTTGTAAAAAGAGATCAGCGCAGTCCATTTATTAGTTCTGAGATCCCAATACCAAACTGTAAATATAAAAGACTGTGCCAATTCGGGGACCATGATTGCTCCCTGACGCTCTAGAAGAGGAGGGAATGAGCGACCTCATGAGAGAACAAGAGTCACTCTATCTTGCTCAGGCCACGTTTTATGTTTTAACTTTTTGCCTTTGATCTAAGCACTGTTGACCAAGGTGTTTTTGAGAAGTGCCATGATGCCGAGAGGTATTATTAAGTTGAAATTGACCAGAACCTGCACAAATTACAGGAAAGAGCTGTGTGTACCGAAACCACCAGCCCACAACTACCCCCCCCTCAGATGGTCCATTGGGTCGTGTCACTCCCCGCTGATGCTAGCCGCCCTGGGATGGAGCCCCTCGCCCCGAGCCAGGCGAACTCATATGCAATTTTGCTTAAACACCTGGTCAATGTAACTTTTTGTGACTTTGTGGTTTTTGCCTTTATAAACCCTGCTGGAATGTCGCTGGGGTCTCCTCCCTCTGAGTGCATAGGACGAGGCCTGAGCCTTGGCTTGTTCTGAATAAACCTAGCATTTTGCGCATAGTCTGAGTCTCCGGTGGTCTCGGTGGTCTTTGAGGAGTGGGCATCTCACCCTGCCAGCTGCTGCTTTTTCTCCTTTCTCCTTTGTGACTTACATCCTAACTTCCCACTTTCTCATTTCTCCCATCTCTCTCTCTCCCTCTCTCTGCTTGCTTTTTCTTTTCATTTTTAGATTTTTTTAAAGTCTTCAGCATTATTTGTTTGTGTATGTGGTGCTGAGGAATCGAACCTAAGGCCTCACGCATGCAAGGCAAGCACTCTACCACGGAGCCACCTTCCCAGCCCTTCTTTCTCCCTTCTTTCTTCTTTCGTGTTGGAGCCAGGGTCTCTATGTAGTTAGGCTGGTCTAGCTAGAGCTCCTGTTCCTCCTGCCTTCACTTTCCAAACGTTGGAATCAGCCGCAGGTGCCGCCCACCAGGTGTGGCTAAACTGCTGGCTGTTGCAAACACACCTTGGAAGAAACACAAGAGGTCACCTGATCCTCACACCATAGTCCTGCCGGGTATATTCAGTGATGCGTGTTAGTGGGGCTGGGGTTATATTCTATGTTATTTTTTGTGCCAGTACTGGGGCTTGAACTCAAGGCCTTGTACTCTTGGTTGGCTTTTTTGCTCATGGCTGTTGGTCTACCACTTTAACCATAGCTCCATTTCTGGCTTTTGGCTGGTTAATCGAAAACAAGAAACTCACAAACTTTTCTGCTGGGGCGGGCTTTGAAGCTCAGTCCTCAGATCTCAGCCCCCTGAATAACTGGGATCTACCGCACCCAGCTTGGTCATTGTTTTCCTAACAGAGCAACTTACCGATCACTTTGACCTTCAGAACATCACTGGTCATTTCTAGGTGGGAATGGCAATTATCCACAGTGCACTGGTACACTGCATCTTTGACTGGTTTATCATCAAAGACTGCAGGCTCATTTGAGTATATCACAGAAGTCTGGATCACATCCTTGGCTTTTAAAAGGCGGTAAGTAATGGGTAACGTTCCATTTATTGATTGGCAACTGACTTTTAATGTATGTCCTTTGATGATCTCAGAGCTGGTATCATGAGAAATCCTGGGCTTGGAGAGCTTTTCTAGAATAACAAAAGGAAATATCATGTAAAACAACATGGAAGGGCTGGGAAGATGGCTTAGTGTAGGTAGAGCACTTGCCTTGCAGGCATGAAGCCCTGGTTCAATTCCTCAGCACCACATACACAGAAAAGACCGGAAGGGGTGCTGTGGCTCAAGTGATAAAGTGCTTGCCTTGAGCAAAAAAAAGCCCAGGAACAGTGCCCAGGCCCTGAGTTAAAGCCCCAAGACTGGCAAAACAAAACAAAACAACAACAACAAAAAACAACCGACATTGAAGCAACACATCTCCAAAAACTCTGGGCGTGCAGTCTGGTCCAGGTACCGGTAGCATCAGCAACACCCAAGTGCTGTTTGGAGAGACAGAATCTTGCTGCCTCCCTACCCACCGAAGCAGAGCCCATGGTTCTTTGTTGTTGTTGTTGCTTTGTTTTGTTTTGTTGGTAGGCCAAGGGGCTTGAACTCTGGGCCTGGGCTCTGTCCCTCAGCTCTTCAGCTCAAAGTATAGCTCTACACTTGAGCCACTTCCGGTTTTCTGGCAGTTAATTGGAGATAAGAGTTTCCCAGACTTGCCTGACTGGGCTGGCTCTGAACCTAGATCCTCAGCTCTCAGCCTCCCGAGTAGCTAGAATTACAGGTGTGAGCCACCGATGCCAGGCAATTTCTTTTTTGTTGTTGTTAGTAATAGGGTTTGAACTCAGGGCCTGGGCACTATCAGTGAGCTGTTTTGCTCAAGATCAGGGCTCTATCACAGCTTCACTTCTGGTTTTTAGGTGGTTAATGGAGATAAGAGTCTCAAGCACTTTTCTGCCCAGGCTGGTTTTGAACAGTGATTCTCAAATCTCAGCCTCCCAAGAAGCTAAGGATTACAGGTGTGAGCCAGCAGCGCCCAGTAGAACTCCCATCTTTTTATTTATTATTTTGGGGGGCTGGTCCTGGAGCTTGAACTCAGGGCTTGGACACTGTCTCTGAGCCTCTCTGTGCTCAAGGCTAGCACTCCACCATTTGAACCACAGCGCCACTTCCGGCTTTTTCTGTGTATGTGGTGCTGAGGAATCGAACCCAGGGCCTCATGCATGCAAGGCAAGCGCTCTACCACTGAGCCACCTTCCCAGCCCCCTCCCATCTTCTTAATGTGTAACATGGACTGAGCCAGTGTCCTCTCTGCTTTGCTAACTGGGTTCCCTACTCCAGAAACCAACCCAGAGTCACGTGAGCCATAGTCACAATAAAGACCTGAACTTGATCTTCGCTCACATTGTTTTCATGTTGCCTCTCTTTTGGGCTCTGAGCAGGCATTACCTACTTGCTCTGCCTGGGCCTTTGATGTCCTGCCCCCTGCCCCCCTCCTTCTCTCTCTCTCTCTCTAGGTCTGGCCCTGCCTGGGTCTGATCTGCCTTCACACTGGAGCAGGTGTTGTCTGACAGCGCCCTTCCTGCCACGTGTTCGATTGCACACTCACCGCACACTGTGATTTCAACCGTGTTGCTTTTTTTGACCACTTTGCCGACGCCCGCCGTGCAGGAGTATACCCCGCTGTCCCACTCCGTGGAGATCTTGGTGAACTCCGGACTCATGGATACGATGGTGTCTCCCTTCAGGATGGTGAAATCGGCTGGCAGCCCTCCCAAGATAGAGCAGGACAAGTTCAGCTTTTCCCCCTGGTCCAGGTGGGTAGACAGCGATTCCAGCTTGGGCTTGGGAAACAGTTCTGAAACAGAGCGAGAGGAAAGGGGAGGAGATGCAGCTGGCCATCGCTCCCAGTGCTGCGTGGAGATGCCGGCGGGCCCGCTGTCCCACGCAGGTCCTCCTTCACTTCTCAGGGCTCCTGAGCGCACCCATGTCTGAGATTCCAGTGTCAGCCAGGAGAAGCTTTCAGATACGTTGGAACCAGGCATCAGTGCCTCACACCTGTAATCCCAGCTACTCAGGAGACTGAGATCTGAGGATCCTGGTTTGAAGCCAGCCCCAACAGACAAATCTGCCGCATTCTTATCCCAGTGAGCTAGCAAACAGGTGATGTAAAGGTATGAATCAAGTGATGGAGCGCCAGCCTTGATGGACAAAAGCTAAAGGACAGATCCCCGGCCTTGAGTTCAAGGCCCAGGAACAGCACACACACGCATGCATGCATACACATACACATGCAGGTGTGCATGCATGAGACATTTTGAAACTTGTAGCAAGTCATGATTCATGCATGCATATATTTACTTGTTTACTGACATACTTCATACCATATTTACTGCAGGAAATCTGTCTGTCTGTCTATCTATCTATCTATAGTATTAAGTATTTTAGAGAGAAATAAAGCCAGGGAAGAAGAATAGGAGTAAGGGGACTTTTTTCCTCCTCCTCCTCCTCTTCCTGTTCCTCTTCCTCCTCTTCCTCCTCCCCCTGTTCCTCCTCCTCCTCTTCTCCTCCTCCTCCCCTTCCTCCTCTTTCTCTTCTTCTTCTCCTCCTCCCCTTCCCTTCCCCCTCCTCCCCCTCCCCTCCAACTCCTCTTCCTCTTCTCCCCCTCCTCTTCCTCTTCTCCCCCCCTCCTCCTCTTTTCCCCCTCTTCCCCCTCCTCCTCCTCTTCTCCCCCTCTTCCCCCTCCTCCTCCTCTTCTTCCTCCTCCTCTTCCTCTTCTTCTTCTCCTCTCCCTCCTCCTCCTCCTCCTCCCCCTCCCATCTCCTTCCTCCTCCTCCTCCTCTTCCTCCTCCTTCTTTTTGCCAGTCCTGGAGCTTGAACTCAGTGCCTGGGCACTGTCCCTGAGTTTTTTTGTTCAAGGCTAGTGCTCTACCACTTGGGCCACAGTGCCACTTCCAATTCTTTTTTTAGTGTTAATTGAAGATAAGAGTCTCAGGGACTTTTCTTGCCCAGGCTGGCTTTGAATTGTGATCCTCAGGTCTCAGCCTCCTGAGTAGCTAGGCTTACAGGTGTGAGCCACCAGCACCTGGCTAAGAAGGATCTTTTAAGTGATGGATTTGGAAATCAAGCATGCATAATGGTGACTTTTCTTCTGCCATTTGAGTGACTCTGTAATTCCAAGTCTCAGTGTCCACATCTGTAAAATGGGCATCACAGCATCTACTTCCTAGAATGGTTGTGAGCATGAAATAAACATGTCTGTGAGCACAGTATTCAGCAGTGGGAAGTTACTGCTATTCTTTTTTTTTTTGTCGGTTGTGGGGCCTAAACTCTGGGCCTGGGCGCTGTCCCTCAGCTCTTCAGCTCAGGACTAGCACTCTACCACTTGAGCTACAGCACCACTTCCAGCTTTTTCTGCTTATGTGGTGCTGAGGATTCGAACCCAGGGCCTCACGCATGCAAGGTAAGCGCTCTACCACCAAGCCATCTTCCCAGCCCCATATTGCCATTATTCTTGAGTTCACAAATGCTCTCATTCCCAACCCTGTCTCGATCTGTGTCTGTGCTTGGCCAGAGAAAGATGAATGACGTCTGATCACACACACATGAGCCAACCCTCCTTGAGTGTTTATTCTATGCAAGGTGACACACTAACACACCATAGTCTAGCCCTCTCCCTCAGCGGCCATCCTAACAGTCCTAGAAAGGCGGGCACCATCCTAGCCTGGCCTCTCAGAGCTCAGGCAAAGCTAATAACCCGAGTACACAGGCTAGGGAGCGGCTTGCTTGGGCTTGGCACACCAGAGCTGCCAATCCCACAGCCACCATAGCAGCCCACGTGCTGCCTGCTCATGAACTTGTCTCCATGACTCCCAAAGCCCAGCCTGAGCAGAGACATTCACACAAGCAGAGGCAAAGACCAATCAGCTAGCCGGACGCCCGTGCTCACACCTATAATCCTAGCTACTCAGGAAGCTGAGATCTGAGGATCTCGGTTCAAAGCCAGACCGGGCAGGAGAGTCTATGAGACTCTTATCTCCAATGAACCACTAGAAAAGCAGAAGTGGTGCTGTGGCTCAAATGGTAGAATGATTGCCTTGAGCTGAAGAGCTCAGGGACAATGCCCAGGCTCCGAGTTCAAGACCTCTGACACACACACAAAAAATATCAGCTCTCGGTGGCTACCCTGGCTGACGGCACAGACGGCACAGGTGTTGGCGAGCCTGCCACTGCCCAGCAGATCTTCGCACAGCAGCCCTACCTGTGATGTTGACCAGGACGCTGCTGACCTTGGATATGCGGCTCGATTCTACCTTGCACGTGTAGTTGCCGTTGTCTTCCACCATGGCCATGACTGAGTACTCGGCCTCGCTGCCCTCTTTGGTGGTGGCCACAATCTCCTTGTCCTTCTGAATGATGATTTCCGGGAATTTGTGGGCCAGGTGTGTCACCTGAATGGTGCATTTGATGTGAACCTGGTCACCTTCTGTGATCACCCCTGGGGGGCTGATGTGGAACTTGGGCGTAGAGAAAGATTCTACAAGAAAGCAAGACAAGCTGGTTTCAGCGCGCGTCAAGCCTGGGCCCTGATTTTTTTTTGTTTGCTTGTTTCTTGCTGGTTTTGCTGCTCCCCTTTTCCCAATCTATGTCTCCCCAATTAACAACTCCTCCATCTTTTGTCCAGCGCTGGGGGGGGGTTCCCGCCTGTAATCTTAGCTATTCAGGAGGCTTGAGATCTGAGCATTGTGGTTTGAAGCCAGCTGCCTGGACAGACAAATCTGATTCAGCAGTACAAAAGCTAAAAGTAGAGGTATGGTTCAAGTGGTAGAGCACCAGCCTTGAGCTTTGTTAACTCAAGGGAGGGGGAGAGTCTTGACTTTAAGCTTGACTACCACCACACAAACAAAGCTCTCAACTCGTTCCTTTTTTTTTTCTTCCTGTGAGTTCCTTTCCTTTTGGCTCAATTGTGTATCTTGAGCCATTTTTCTTTTCTCTTTGTGTGTGTGAGGGAGAGAGAAGTGGGGTGGGGGGAGGGGAATAGGCAGGATTGAATTCAGAGGAAAGGTCTAGTCTCTCTCCAATTCTAGCGCTTTCTCCCTCTCCCCAACCCCACAGCACGAAGAAGAGCGAGAAGAAGAGCAGGCTCCTGACCCGTCACGGTGACCAGTTCACTCCTGATAGAGTCCGAAGTCTGCACGGGGAACCCAGACATGATCCTCACTTGACAACGAAACACTAAAACGTGATCCTGCTCCTCGATGGAGAAGTTCAGTGTCACAAAATTCTGGTTCTGAGACGTCTTCTCTCTTCTCTGCTTGACAAGTTTGGTATCGAGTTCAACTTTTTCAATGGTGAAATGCATTGGTGGCTTTTCCTCTGGGACAGAACAGCCGACGGCCACCACCCCGCCTTCGATCACCTCCTTTTTATCCAGGATCACTTGGGGACTGGACACGCCTTGGGAGGAAGAGAAGGCCCAGTGAGTAGCAGTTGGAGCTAGTGGCACAGCCATGGTGGTCGCTGACCCTTTGGGGATTCTTTCTTCCTCTCAGGTAGTAACTGACCTGTATGAAATAAGCCAGGTGCTGGTGGCTCACACCTGTAATCCTAGCCACTCAGGAGGCTGAAATCTGAGGATCCTAGTTGGAAGCCAGCCCAGACAGGAAAGTCCTAGAGACTCTTTATCTCCAATTAGTCAGGGGGGAAAAAAAGCCAGAAATAGAGGTATAGCTCAGGCGGTAGAGTGCTAGCCTTGAATGAAAAAGCTACGTGAGGATGCAAGGCCCTGAGTTCAAACCCCAGCACTGGCACAAATATATTTTATAAAATATATTCAAGGCATGGTAGGTATTTTCCAGTTTATAACCCCTGGGAAGGTAGTACGGTCAGATCCTCAACTAATCCAGTTTAAAGAAAATAAAAACATCCCCTACAGTATAACCCCTGTTTTCACTATATTTGATGTTGGAATAATTTGTGGCGGGGAAGGGAGAAAACAAATTGCTTAGAGAGGGATACAGGTGGACCCATTGCAACAATGAGATGTACAAGACGTTATGCCGAAAAACGAACTTTGTCCAGGGTGGGGGGATGAGTGGGAAGGGGGGAGGGGGGCGCGGGGGAGATGGGAAGGGATGGGAAGGGGAAATAAAAGAGGAGGCAACAATGCTTGATAAGAAATGTACTCATTATCTTGTCCATGTAATTGTAACCCCTCCGTACAGTATGTTCACAATAAAATAATAATTAAAAGAAAAGAAAAACCCCAACAACATCCAGGACTTAGTGACTTTATGGTTATTGTCATTTATAGAACAGCAACCACAGGTCTGAGTTGGCTTTAACTTAGTCCATGGACAGTTACTGTTTACTCAGAGCCAGTGTCTTTGCTCAGGATGTCACTTTCACAGTGTGGAAGAACGCAGATGTGAGAGCACACTCATGCGTTCTTAATGACAGGACATGTTCTGCTGAGTGACTTTATTTATTGGGGGGGAGGGCAGTCCTGAGCTTGAACTCAGGGCCTGGGCACTGTCCCTGAGCTGCTTCTTTTGCTCAAGGCTAGCACTCTACCACTTGAGCCACAGCACCATTTCCAGTTTTTCCTGTGTATGTGGTACTGAGGAATCAAACCCAGGGCTTCATGAATGCTAGGCAAGCACTCTACCATTAAGCCACCTTCCCAGTCCTGCTAAGAGACTTTGTTGTGTGAATACATGTTTTTAGCCAAACTACAGTGGCACTGCCATGCTAGATGATACAGTATTACAGGACCATCGTGGACACGGATAACATTGATTGAAGTGACATCCATCGCTGCATGATCATAATTGTATAACACACGGTGTGACACCTTTTAACTCTCTCTGTAACTCCCAGAGCTGGGTGCCTTGTTATAATTATCTGCTAGTGAAGATTCTGAAGGTTAGAATGGTTAAAAGACAAGGAACCCAGATAGAGAGACAGAAGAATCTAGTGACTTAGCAACTTTTGCTATGTGGCTTTTCTGCAAAGAAAATCCTATTGCAGGGGCTGGGAAGGTGGTTCAGTGGTAGAGCATACGCCTTGCATGCATGAGGCCTTGGGTTCAATTCCTCAGTACCACAGAAGTGAAATGAAAAAAGCCAGAAGTGGCGCTGTGGCTCAAGTGGTAGAGCGCTAGCCTTGAGCTGAAGAGCTGAGGCCCAGAGTTCAGGCCCCACGACCGGACCCCCTCAAAAAAAATCCTATTGCAGGATGGGGGGGAGGGGGGAGGCTGGGAAGGGATGGGAAGGGTAAACAAAGGAGGAGGCTGCAATGCTTGGTAAGAAATGTATGCATTATCCTGCCCATGCAATTGTAACCCCTCTGTACAGTATGTTCACAAATAAAATAAAATAAAATTAAAAAAAAATCCTATTGCAGTTGGGTGTCGGTGGCTCACACCTGTGATCCTAGCTACTCAAGAAACTGAGATCTGAGGATTGCAGTTCAAAGCAGGCTGGCAGGAAACTCTCTAGACTCATTTCCACTCACCTTCCACCACCAGCCGGTACTCCTGCGTGGTTTTCTCCTTGTTATTCAGAAGCACGGTGCACTTGTAAGTCCCTGCGTTATGGACTCGCGCTCTGGGGATGAAGAAGCTCTCGGTGGTCTGGGAAGAGGAGACGTTGTGCAGCATCACGTCTTCCTTGTAGAAGAGCACCGAGTGCTGGGGTCTGACGGCCGCGGTGGTACTGATGTCCACCACGCACTGCAGGGTCACGTTCTGCCCATTAAGCACCGTCCAGTTGGGCAGGCTGTTCATGTGGACGCTGTTGATGGTGAACGCTACATGCAAACAGAAGGAGGGCAGACATACCTGTTACCTTAGCAACAGCATCATCCTGGTGACCTTCAGTGTGTGTGTGTGTGTGTGTGTGTGTGTGTGTGTCCATACTGGAGCTTGAACTCAGGGCTTTGTGCTCTTTTTTGGCTTTTCTGGCTCAAGGTTGGCACTCTACTATCTAAGTATATCTTCAGTCCCCTCCCTGGTACTTTTCTTTTGTGAGTGTGTGCCAGTCCTTCGGCTTGAACTCAGGGCCTAGGGTACTGTCCTTCAATGTTTTCTGCGCAAGGCTAGCAGTCTACCAGTAGAGCCACACCTCTGGTGGTGTTGGTAGGTAATTGGAAATAAGAGTCTCCTGCTCAGGTTGGCTTTCAACTGAGATCCTCGGATCTCAGCCTCCTGAGTAGCTGGGGTTAGAGGCGTGAGCCACCAGCACCCGGCTCCCTCCCTGGGGCTTTTATCTTGAAGGAGCACCAAGCCAAGGTGACACCGGTGGGTGGCATGGGGTCCTTTAAGCTGCCTCCAATTATGTGCACATGTTTTGTTTTTCTTTTCTTTCTGGAATGAGGTCCCCAGAATTACTGACAGAGCACTAAAAGAGTCCAGACTTGTGTTAAAGGACAGGATTGCAGAAAACCCAGAGAGGTGAGATTTTTTTTTGCCAGTCCTGGGGCTTGAACTCAGGGTCTGGGCACTGTCCCTGAGCTTCTTTGGCTCAAGGCTAATGCTCTAGCACTTGGGCCACAGAGCCACTTCTGGCTTTTTCTGCCTATGTGGTGCTGAGGACTCGAACCCAGGGCTTCATGCATGCAAGGCAAGCACTCTACCACTGAGCCACATCCCCAGCTTGTCAAGCGGGAAAGAAAAAGATTAGTAGGGAAGGAATCAAAGTCACCAAGAAGATATCCAAATACTAAAACCAGGGGATCTAGCTCTCTCCATCTCGGGACCATCAGCCCGCAGGTCCCTGGGGACAGCAGGCCTGTGACTCAGCTGGCCACCTGGCTCTCAACCCAGAAATGACTCAGAAAGAAGAAGAAGGGGGGGAGGGGAAGACAAGGAGGGGCCATCTACTATTGTCAGGAAAATGACAGGGTCGCACAAACATGGAGTCCCTGATGCATTTCTTTCTGTGTTTAACAAACATGCCAACCCCTGTTCTGCTCACGTTCTCATTCCCAAGACAGCCAGGCCAGGTGCTGCACTTCCCGGGGAAACGGAAATCACCCCTGCTGTCCAAGACCCCCTGGGCCAGTGGAGATCCAGATTGCTATCGATCAGAGACCCTGAAGACAAGCGTCGCCCACGAGAGACCCAGGACAGTGGGAAGGAAATGTCCCCCAGACGTGTTCCAAGGCACTGGGGCATGAGGACTTGATGCAGTTCAGGTACAAACAGTTCCTGAGAGGCAGAGCGTGCGGCTGGGGAGGAGGCAGGCTGTGGGGATAGTGCCAAAGGGGAAAGTCAGGCCTGCCACGTGGGCAAGCTGGGTCACGTGGGTCTTTGGAGGGGGCAAGGTATCCAAGATACTAGTCAGTGTTTAGAAAGACCACTGCGGCCAGACACCAAGAGCACACTCCTGTAATCCTAACTACTCAGGAGGTTGAGATCTGAGGATCATGGTTCAAAACCAGCCTGGACAAGAAAGGTCATGAGGCGCTGATCGCCAATGAACCACCAAAAGGCTGGAAGTGGAGCCGTGGTTCAAGTGGCAAAGTGCTGGCTTGGGGGGGGGGGCTGTGAAGCCCAGGGACAGTGCCCAGGCCCTGAGTTCAAGCCCCAGGACAAAAGGCCGCTGTGACATAAGATCAAGGCCAGGGAACAGACCCAGGGTGGAGGGGTTCAGGTGAAAAATGGATGTGCTCAGGCAGGAGGTCCAGGGAACTCAAGAGGATTTGTTTTGGGGTCAAAGGCAACATTCTACACTTAGATGATGCAGATGGTTTACTGCATTTATTATATGCTTTGTTTTATTTGGGGGGGTGTCCTAGAGCTTGAACGTGGGGCCTGGATTCTAACCCTGAGCTCTTTTTGCTCAAGGCTTTGAGCCACAGCTTCACTTCCAGTTTTCTGGGGGTTCATTGGAGGTAAGAGCATCACAGACTTTCCTGCCTGGGCTGGCTTTGAACTGCGATTCTCAGATCAGATCTCAGCCTCCTGAGTAGCTGGGATGACAGGTGTGAGCCACTGGCGCCCAGCTACGCTTTGTATTATTTGGATTTCACCACAATTTAAAAAAAGAAAGAACTTGACTGGCTCTGAGGTTGAAGAAGTGGAACAGAAGATTCTTGAGCGGTTCTCAGGAAACAGCCAGTGCCGTGAGCTGCAACGGAGAACGCCAGAGAAAGACGAGGGAGGAAGACGGAGTTTCTGGGACTGGGCCGGGCTGAGGGAGGAGCCCTAAGGACAAGAGGGAAGACGGCTTTGGGCCTGGGGTTGTGTCTGAGGTTTGGCTGTGAGGCCGGAGCTGGACTCAGAGCACCAGGACAATCAGGAGGGAGAGAAAAGAGTTGGAACCCAGAGACAATCAGAGGCCGGAGCCTGCAGAGCCAGGTTCAAACCCAGGAAAGCCAATCTGCCCTGGGGAAGAGGGCAAATGTAATGGAATATTTCAATGGTTGCCGGGCACCGGCAGCCCACGCCTGTCATCCCAGCTTCTCAGGAGGCTGAGAACTAAGGATCGCAGCTCAAAGCCAGCCCAGGCAGGAAAGTCTGTGAGACTCTTATCTCCAATGAACCCCCAGAAAACCGGAAGTGACGCTGTGGCTCAATGGTAGAGTGCTAGCCTTGAGCTGAAGAGCTGAGGGACAGCGCCCAGGCCCAGAGTTCAAGCCTCACGACCGACAATGAAAAAAAAGAAAAATTGGAGGGAATGGGTTGTTTGTATGTGATTTTTTCTTTTTCCTGAAACAAACAAACAAATAAGAAGTTACCAGCTAGGTGCCAGTGGCTCCTGCCTCTAATCCTAGCTACTCAGGAGGCTGAGATCTGAGGATCATGGTTCAAAACCAGCTCAGGTGGGAAAGTCCATGAGATTTTTTTTTTCCTAATGTTCAATAAATTACTCAGAAAACTCCAGAAGCGGAGCTGTGGCCCACGTGGGAGAGCGCTAGCCTTGAGCACAAAGAACCTCCGAGGCAGCACCCAGGCTCTGAGTTCAAGTCCCAGGACCAGAAAAAAAACAAGTTATCCATTGGGCTTTAGACTAGAGTGAGAAGGCAGGGCGGGGCTGTGGGTCCAGGCAGAGGTCCAGATGCTGCTAGTGAGTGACTCCGTAGGGAGGGAGGGATGGGCCAAGGCCCTGGTAGATGGGCAGGCGCTAATCAGCCACCAGGGTGGACACTGCGCTGAGCCTGGAGGGAAGCCGAGAGGATGGGTGGGGAGCCAGATAAGCCAGCAGCCCAGGCCGGCCCAGGCCTGGCAGGAAGTCCAGGGAGTTCCCTCCAGACGCCTGTTTTCTAGGTGCAGATGAAACGGAAGTCATCTCCTGAAGGGAGGTGGATGGCCTTTGGGCAAGAGCAACCGGGATCCCCAAGGCCTGGGAGAGCAAGGGGCCTCACTCACCTTGAGCTGAACTGCTGAGGGACAGCGCCCAGGCCCAGAGTTCAAGCCCCATGACCAACAGAAAAAAAAAAAGATGGGGTGCATGCTGGAGTAGACAGAATATTTCAGGGGCCTCGGCTGGAAGGGTGGGCAGGAAGGGGTGGGCAATATCATCATCATTCACTACCCACTGTCCGCAGAACAGCTCTGCCTCACCCCCACCCCCACCCACCACCAATCCACATTTTACAGCTGGAACAAAACCAGGTAAAGATGCATCTCAGGTTTGGTAGCACACGCCTGTAATCCCGTCACCTAGAAAGGCTGAGGAGGGAGGATCCTGAGCTGGGGCTAGCCTGGGTTAATGAGAGAAACAACATCTGGGCTGTGTCCAGACCCACGTGCAGATTTGGGGTCGCAGAAGTCCTGCTCCCCTGGCCGGCAGTGGCATGGGCAAGCCCATCTTCCTTGGGGCTCGGGTGACACCATCAAACAGGTGATTTGAAGATGATGGCTATCTTGTCTGGGGGTCAGAATGGCCAAGGATGCAGGGCGCGTGGGCCTGGGGACCCCCACTGACCGGCGACTTGAGTAGCCACACCAGCTCTTCCCCACTGGGGCCACCGCCATAGGACTCCACTCAGCCGGCACCGGGCAGCCACGCAGCCTCCAGAGAGCTGGACAACATGTCCAGCTGCCCGATTCTGAAGAGAGATTGAATTCTGCAGGTGTTCTACCCAGTTCACAGCCCCAGACCCAGCTAAGCTCCCTCACGCAGAGAATCCCCCCCCCATGTCAAGATGGACCTCCTAGATCAGCCTGTAAATAGCATGTAACCGGACCGCAGACAGTTGGGTGGCTCACGCCTGTAATCTCTACTCAAGAGGCTGAGAGGTGAGGGTGGCAGTTCAATGCCAGCTCCAGCAGATAAGCCTATGTAATTTGTATCTCCAGTGAAGCAGCAAAATGCCAAGTGGAAGTGTGGCTCAAGTGGTAAAGCATTAGCTTTGAGCTGGACGCCGGGCGGGGGGAGGGGGCTCACACCTGTAATCCTAGCTATTCAGGAGGCTGAGCTCTGAGGATCACGGTTCAAAGCCAGCCAGGGCAGGAAAGTCCATGCAACTCTTATCTCCAATAAACCACTAGAAAGCCAGAAGTAGCACTGTGGCTCAAGTGGTAGAGCGCTTGCCTTGAGCTGAAGAGCGCAGGGACAGCGCCCAAGCCCAGAGTTCAAGCCCCATGACCGACAAAAAAACAAACAAACAAGCAAACAAGCATTAGCTTTGTGTAGAAAAGCTAAAGGGAAGCTGCCTGACTCTGAGTTCAAGCCACAATACCGGCACACGTGTCCAAGAGCCTGCACACATGTGCACATACACGCATGCACACGCACGTAGCAGCTCTGTTCCCTGTGTGCCCGCCCAAAATATTGTAGATATCATTACAGCCTCATAGGTGGATGGGAAATTAGATCCACAATCTTTTTTAATCTTTTAAGAGAAAAAGAAAAGTTGAGATACCAATTTAAACTTTGTTCTGTCTTTCCCAAGCTAATAAGTTGACTGTATCTTAATTGTGAATTAAAACAAGTAAGAGAGGCCAGGTTGTCAGTGGCTCATGTCTGGAATTCTAGCTATTCAGGAAGCTGAGATTTGAAGATCAAAGTTTGAGACTCTTATTTCCAGTTAACCACCAGAAAATCAGAAGTAGAGTCGCGGCTCTAAGTGGTACAGCACTAGCCTTGAGCAAAAGAGCTCAAGGACAACCAGACCAAGACCACCAAACAGAAAAAGAGTAAGAAGAAACCACCACCACAACCACAAACCCAAGAAAGAGGAACATCAGAAACAAATAAAAACAAGCAATTGGGGAAAGAGCAGGGCGAGAAAACCAGCAATTTATCTTAGCACAACCTCAAACAAATGATAGAATCACTTTTTTTTTTTAAACCACCTCCCCAATTCTAACAAACCACAATCCACCAAAGTAGAAAATGAACATCGGAAAACACATGCTCCTAAAATGCACTGATTGAAAAAAAAAAAAAAAAAGTTGGTTCACAATGAAAGTTTTGGTCTAAGACCTTCTGGAATAATTGTCCTCAGTTGTTCAAACTCAACCCCCAAACCATTTGATATGAGTAGAGAATGACCGAGAGGACGTGCTGGAGAGCAGACAGAAGTGTGGTTCACTTACAGTTTTCTCTCCCCTGGAAGCCCGGACCTGGAAGAGACAGAAGGAATCTGTTGATTTCACAAACTTCGGTTCTCAGGAAGGGACAGTGAGCGGGGAAGAGGGGACACTCACAGCGCAGCAACGCCAGCAGGACGAGGAGCCACATCTTGTGCCCTGGTCCTACCCCAGCCGCCTCCTCCCAGCGAAGACTGAAGGACACAGTCAGTTCTGCCTCTGGGCCATGCGTTGGGGACAGGGGACACTTCCCACAGATGAGAAACCTGCTCGGGGAACAACACTGGCCGCTCTGGTAACTCCTGCAGAGGCTGCCGCAGAGACTGGCTCTGGAGAGCTGGTCAGGTAATGGCGGCCATTTCTGGAAACTCAGAGAACAATGAGGCCTGGGCTGATCTGATATCTCCTCAGGAAATGACTGGACTTCCTGAGGGATCACTAAATGCAGTCACTTTGGGGGTGGCTGCCAGTTGGGAGGGGAGGTGACAGTTGCCTGCCTCCATGTTCTTGAGCCTCTTTTCTGCTTCACCTGGGTTTGGGGTCCCCTTCTCCAGACAAGGGTGAGGGTGATTTTTTTTCTCCCCTTACCAGCTTCTATGCAAAACATGTTTCCCAATAAACACCCAGAAAGGTCCATTTTCCTAAGATATCCCCGCCTCCCCCCCCTTCCCCATCCCCGTCCAAAGGGACTCGGTTCTCACCACATAAATCTGGGCCTTTGCCTGACTCCAGCTGGCTTTAGGAAGAATTGCAAGATGTGTCCCAAGAACCCCCCAGGGGGATTCTGACCTTGGAATGCAATGAAATAAAGCCCGCTGGGGGGGAGTGGGGAGGCTGGGAAGGGAGGTGAAGGGTAAACCAAAGGAGGAGGCTGCAATGCTTGGTAAGAAATGTACGCATTATCCTGCCCATGTAATTGTAACCCCTCTGTACAGTATGTTCACAAATAAAATTAAATTAAAAAAAAAAAAGAAATAAAGGCCACTGCTGGGCGCTGGTGGCTCACGCCTCGTCATCCTAGCTACTCAGGAGGCTGAGATCTGAGGATCACAATTCAAAGCCAGCCCGGGCAGGAACATCCCTGAGATTCTTATCTCCAATGATCCACCAGAAAACCGGAAGTGGCACTGTGGCTCAAGTGGTAGAGTGCTGGCCTTGAGCTGAAGAGCTGAGAGACCCCAGGCCCAGAGTTCAAGCCCCATGACTGATGATAAATAAATAAATCAATAAATAAGGGCTGCTCTGCTGGGATTACAGATGTGTAGCACCACTCCCCTCTGCTAAAGTATAAATGTGGGTTCTCTCGTTTCTCTTGGAAACCCTGCCATCGATTCCCCCTAGCCCTCTACAAAACATTCATCACCAGGGCCCTAAGCTTACCTTTCTAGCTAGGACTCAAACCACTTCCTTCTGTGTCCTACACTTTGTTAGAAGACAGCGAGGAACCTAAACAACTCCATTTCACTTAAGACGCCCATCTCAGTTCTGCAACTTAACCCTTGACTCACTTCAGCCCCAAGGCCTGGAATTACGATCTCTGAAATTCCAGAACAGCTCCTCCTAGGGTCTGGTGACCATTGTGTAAACCAGGTACGTCAGCCCCCTTGATCTAACCAACAACTTGTTTCTGGTCCTTTCCCGCTTTGTAGTGCGCCAATCATATAGTGTTGTTTTATGATTTTCCTGTGGTTTGTAGTGATTCGTTACAAGAAGTTATGTTTGCAAAGCCTCTGTCTTCCCTAAAAAAAGTGTATAAAAAGTGCTGTGACCCTGGGCCTCTCAGCGTCATGGCTGCTGCATGCATGCGGGGGACCAAGCTCAAGCTTGCAATCAAGACTCCTTTGCTTTTACATTGGTGTCGGTCTCTGGTGGTCTTTTGGGTAAGGATTTCCGAATTCCACTTTACAACAGTAGTTCCCAGAATGCGTCGTGTCTGGGCCTCTCTCAGAGCCGTTCCCCTGCCTCTCTTTCTTGTAGATGGATTGCTACATGCTTCCTAACTTTTTGAGGCATTGACTGACTCCTCTAGAAACTTCCCTGGTCTTCCCAGGGGGAGACTGAGCTGCCCCCTTCACACCAGCCTCCCTAAATCCCCCAGCTTCCAGATTCTTTCTCCCTCCTGCTGCCGGTGAGGAGCAGTGGTCCCTGGACACTGGACACTCATCTAGACGAGGACTGTGATCGCAGGGCTGGAGGTCACCTGGCTGGGATTGGAGGGCGCCATATTGTTTGTGAAATGCCAGCCTCTAGGACTTGGAGGGGATCAAGGAAGACACATTTATTTCAGCTAAGGACCATGGGAACCAGACTCGAATACCTCAGGCAAAACCCACCAACGAACTGGCTTCCAAGGACTGCAACTCCTGGTTGTGACCCACCAGCCCCGGTGCAGTGGCGGTTTGAGAACTGTGCTGGGAAGAGCTCTTCCAGAGTAACGCAGGCTCCGGCCGGTAACCCTAGCTCCTCCCGAGGCTGAGAGCTGAGGATCACCACTGGGCACCAGACCAGGCAGAGATTTTTTTTAATTTAATTTTATTTGTGAACATACTGTACGGAGGGGTTACAATTACATGGGCAGGATAATGCTTACATTTCTTACCAAGCATTGCAACCTCCTCCTTTGGTTTACCCTTCACATCCCTTCCCAGCCTCCCCCCCAGAGATTTTTTAATATATATCTCAATTAACCAGTGAAAAGCCAGAAGTAGAGGTGTAGATCAAGAATACCACCTTGGAGTGGCTGATTCATTGCAATTTCTCTCCTTTTTCCTCCTTCCTCCCTCCCTTCCTTCTTTCCTTTCTTCCTTCCTTCCTTCTCTCCTTCCTTCCTCCCTTCCTTCCTCCTTCCCTTTTTTCCTTCCCTCCTTCCTTCCTTCCTTCCTTGTCCATTTTGGAAGAACTGGCATCTTAACAATACTTGTATTTTCATCCATGAACATGGTATATCTCTTCAGGTCTTGATGTTTTGTCTTCCTCTCAGTAAAGTGTGTACTTTTTCATTATAGAACCTTTTTCTGTGTGTGTGCCAGTTCTGGGGCTTGAACTCAGGGCCTGGGTGTTGTCCTTGAGCTTTTGTGCTCAAGACTAATGTTCTATCACTTGAGCCACAGTGCCATTTCCAGCTTTTTGGTAGTTAATTGGAAAGAAGAGTCTCATGGACTTTCCTGCCTGGGCTGGCTTTGAACTGGGATCTTCAGATCTCAGCCCTGTGAGTAGCTGGGATTACAGGTATGAGCCAAGAGACTTTGGCTACTCTTGCTATATCAGAGCAGCAAGAATGACAATAATAATAATACCAATGCCAGAAAATTATTTTGTCCTCACCCTACCTTCTAGACTTTCTATCTGAAACAAAATAAACATGGCTAAAACAGGAGGAAGCCTTAATTGGTTTATCAGAAGTTCATGGGGATTTTATGCTGCCAGGAATGACTTAGTGGGAGAAGAAAATAAAAGGAGTTGGTTATCTAGCGATCTGAGAAATGAACGCTAGATACAAACCGTGATGCGGATTGAATGCACGGACAGTTTCCAGCAGATCATCAGGTTCTGATCCAGAAGTTTGTGTTCAGATTGGCGATTGGACCAGTGTTAAACCTCCAGCTGCTTTATGTACCTTGAAGTTGAAACTGAACTGTTAGTCCTCGCCCCAGGTCTCTTCAAGTTCTCAGTCCTGAATCCCTTTAATCCTGGGTAGAGGTAGAGATTCAAGGAGAGATCTGTGAAGCTTTCCTTCCTGGAAATTGAGTCCCAGTAGCTGCTACTTTTAAGTCCAAAGCCTACAATTTAGAGGTTTGTTTTTAACATTTCTTAACATGTTTATGTATCTGCTGGTGGGGCTTAAACCTCAGCATCTTAGCTTTTTCATTCAAGGCTGGTGCCCTACTCCTTGAACCGGGCCTCCATTTCTAGCTTTTGCTGTGGTTAATTGAAGAGTCTCTCAGATTTGTTTGCCCTGGCAGGCTTCAAACCTTGATCCTCAGATCTCAGCCTCCTGAGCAGCCATGATGATAGGCCTGAGGCACCAGTGCCTGCTGGGATTTAGAATTCTGAGCAAAGTCAATTAAACATCTGCAGGGAGATTGCCTTCCTCTGTCCTCTCCTATTGAACCTGTTTAGTGATGGTGGTACCATGCTGATTATACATCAAGCTAATGACACAGCCCTGGCTGGAAGACGTCACAATCAGGAGTCAAAAAAAAAGAAAGATCCATAGGAAATGACAACCCATCACAGAAGTTGCTGACTCCCTTCCTCAAAGCTGGTCTTCTAATGGGGGGGGGGGCGGCAGCTGCTCAGCGGGAGGAGGACAGGGAAGGGTGAGGAGTCTGAAAGGGTGGTCAGCACACACGCTCATTCTACTTGAGCCATGCCCCCAGCCTTTCTGTATTTCAGAGAGGGCCTCCCACTCTGGCTGGACTTGAACTTGAGCTCCTCTTGCTTTGACCTCCCCAGTGTGGGATTACAGGCCGGCACCACCGTCCCTGGCCGCATGTTTGACTGCAACATGGTTCTGAAACTGTCCCTCTGGTGAGAATCCAGGTCTGCCTTTCCAAGGCTCCTCCAACAACGGCCTTCGGGGAACATGGCCGCTGCCTGGAGAAGCCAGTACGGGCAGCTGACTCCCACTTGATTCTCACAGGTTCACCCAAGAGGAGGAAAGGAAACCCAGGGAGACCCAGTTGGGGAGATTGGGAACCCCTGTCCACAATAGAGTCCCCCACTCCACGCTCGTCACAGTCCACAGATGACCAGTCTACAGGACTGTTTGCAGTGTCTGAGCCTGAATCGATGGTGATGGCCCAGATGTTCCAAGAGAGGAAGATAGGCTCCTTGGAGCCATGTGCACACAACAGAAGAAATTTCCTGACCTTTCTTGTCAAGAATACTTAGCCCCGGCTTTCAGGAGGCTGAGATATGAGCATCACGGTTCAAAGCCAGCCTGGACAGGAAAGCTGTGAGACTCTTTTTTGTTGTTGTTGGTCCTGGCGCTTGAACTCAGGGCCTAAGCACTGTCCCTGAGCTCTTAAGCTCAAGGCTACTGCTCTACCACTTGAGCCATAGCACCACTTCGAGTTTTCTGGTAGTTAACTAGAGATAAAAGTTGCAGACTTTCCTTCCTGGGCTGGCTTTGAACGATGATCCTCAGATTTCCTGAGTAGCTTAAGGATTATAGGCTTGAGCCACCAGCATCTGGCTTTCCAAGAAATTCTTTTTTTTTTTTTTGTCGGCCATGGGGCTTGAACTCTGGGCCTGGGCGCTGTCCCTCAGCTCTTCAGCTCAAGGCGAGCGCTCTACCACTTGAGC